TTTAAACCATAATCTTTCTTTGGTTGTGTTCTGTTTCCCAAGATTTAGTTATGAACTGATTTAGCTAGAAATATTAAGTTGGAAAGCCTTATTCAGAAGCATTACGCCTAATTATGCATACTCTTTCCAACATCTTATAAAATGCCTTTTCTTATTCGTGGTTTAATTTCTCTCTCAAGTTTCAAAGTTCTGATCCCCACCCCCCTTTTTTTTGTGTTCCCATTTCTATGATTTCCATGCCACGTAGTGTTTCAAGCCTATGTTGTAAAATAGCCCCTAGTTTAGTCTCTCTGATTCCAGTCTTCTCCCCTTCCTTTTCATACAACATGTGAATGTCAATTAGTTTCCTTGACCAATATGCTAACCTTGACTTTCTCTTATACAGAAAGCTTGACTGGCTTCTCAGTGTTTTTCAGTCAGGTTCAGATTCTGATGAGTAGCATAGCTCTATCTTCATATTTGGCTCCAGTAAACCGTTTTTCCTGAATGTTTCTTCTGTGGCTCTGACACTTTCCCATTGCCTATATGTTGCTCACATCATTTTTACCAACTGTCATTTTCTACCTTCCTGGCTAGTTTTTACTTTTGTTTAATGTCCTTCAGGAAGCCTGCTGTAGGCCATTTCTTTTTGGGTGCTCAAAGCATTTATTATCTACTTACTCATATCTATTTAATTATATAACCTTTTTGTTATTTTCCATCCTGTGATCTTACTATTAATATTCTGTGGACAATTAGTATCTAACTGCATTAGGACAAAAGCCCTTTTCTTCAATCCCTGACCCCTTTGCTCTAGTTGTAGGTACATACTAGGAAGATTTAATGTTTTGGTCAGTTTTTCTCGGATCTTGCAGAAATACAGGAAACTGGGGACATTTGTAGATGACTTGAGTTTTTTGGTGATCTATGGATTGATCCAGATTTGCCCTGATTTCTTAGATAGTATTGGTCTTACCTTAGAACAGAGTTAATTTTCTAGAATGTGAGGTAGAATTGTTCATTTTTATGGCCTTTAGTTATTTTGGAGTAGGCCTTTCATTTATGCAGTGACTCTCAGGAGTGTCAACCTAATCTTTCCGCCCCTGGGTCTTTTTTTCTTTTTTTCTTTTTTCTTTTCTTTTCTTTTCTTTTCTTTTCTTTTCTTTTCTTTTCTT